TCACTGTTTTGAATGGCTTTTGTGTTCATAACACAGAAACAAGTTTTACAAATGTGTGTCACATCAAGAGCTCATAAATGCCTGGCTTTGGGACAAGAGTTCATGTCTTATAAATCTTATGAAATTTCTATTTGCATTTCAAATATGTTAAGTGAAAGTCAGTGATACTAATTGTACTGTATTACATTATGTGTTAAGAATTTTGAATGTCAAGCACAGTTTGTTTATAACAACTCTAAATAATTATTAGATTGAATTACTTATTATACTATTTTTGGTTTGTAAAAAGTATTGAAATAAATAGATTTATTTCATAAAAATCTTTATTCTGTGAAAATATTTATCAATACAGTAAATAAAATATCTGGTATGATTTTATTAACAAATTACTGTGAGTTGACAACTACTACAAACTACAAATATTATAGTAATGTAGTAAAATTTTATTGTATTTTTAAAAATATTATGTTTGGTTCAATCGTGACATAAAAGACCAACTTTTAATTAGTTAAACTTTTACGACCGAAACAAATAAGATTTCTTTTGATTCAATAATTTGCATCAAATTGATTGATGAACTCATTTGACCCATATATCCAGACATGATTTTATGAAATGTTTGAAAATGCATTCAATTGTCTCATACAGATTGTATTCATCATAAATGGGTTCATATTTAAAATAATCCTTAAACATTAAGTAATATTCTTAAGATCTTGTTTAGATTTTTAAAATGGTTTGTATTCATTTGAAAACAAATACAAATTGTGAATTGAGTTGATATCAAATTCTTGAAAAGTGAATAAAAGGTATTTCCATTCATTTCTAAATAATTCACTGCTAAATAAGGTATTTATTGTAAGTAAAACACAATTGAACTAAAAATTTTTATAATATATTAACACTACAGTATATTTAATGTAAATATTGAAAAATAAACATATTATAAAGTGATTGAATTACTACAAAAATATTTTAATTAAAAAATAATTGTTTGTTGTGTTAGAGAGCTTCCCTTTAAGGAATATTCTCTACAAGTATCCAAGTTAACCAATGATAACCAAGTTAAGATAATTAATTAATATAATAATAATAATTAATGAAACTCTGTATATTTATTATAAAATAAAAAGATAAGTGTTCAATATCTTTCAATGACTCCATCATCTCCAGTTCCCCTCTCAATTCACTCCAAATATATCATAGATGTAATGATTACGTGTAATAGTTCATGAAATTGGATCCAGCTCATTGATGTGGGTATACAATAGTAATATGAATACAATGATAAGTATCATAATCATAAGAATATTCATAAGGTTTATGACAGTGTCATAACAGTTGGGATATAATACAAGTACAGTAATATTAAGTGAAATGATTTCATATGCAAATAAAATAAACACCAAAATGAGTCCAATTAATTCATTTTATTAAAACTCGCTTTCAATACGAATACAAAAAGTTATGTTTAATTTAGAGTCGAAACCAAAAAATACTTTAATAATTAGAAAATCAATTGTTTTTCTTCGCAACAAAAAACTCTTTTCGATCGTAAAAACCAATTCAAAGACATTTACCATTGAATTGATGCCACAAATCACGGCCTAATCGCGTCTCAAAGACATGTTCTCCACTTGAATGCCATCTTTAGTGATAATACGGATGTCCACCGAATCGCCGCAATAGATATCTCGCTCTGTAGCCGATATGAACACGTCTTTGACCAACTTCTTGGCCAAATCGACGGTCAGTTCGCGGGGAACCACTGCCTCCTGATTCTTGAGACCCACTTGACTGTCGAGTAGGGGCTGAATGAGTGCGGCCGACGAGCCGCCGACGCGATAGGTGTGGCGCTCGCAGTGTCCGACCGGGTCGTAGGCGAACACACATCCCTTTCCCTCCTCGTCCAGACCGCAGATCACGTTTGAGATATAGTACGGAAAGAAGCGCTTATTGTATAACATGTTGGACACCAACTGCGCGATCGCCGGCGTTGTCATTGTCTTGTTGTGGTCCTGATTGTACATCTGGCGATCGGATCCAATGGATTAGTGGTCACACATCGAGACAATCGTAAGCAACACATACCGTGAGTCTGGCCTCCAGTATCTTCCGGAACGTCAAGATATCACACCAGCAGCCGGTCGACCCCAACACAGCCCTATCCGTCCTATTGGTGGCCATCGATGGACACAAAGAGTGAGATAATTAATGACACGAAGAGTCGGTTATCAATGAATTGTACGAACAGTTGAAAGAGTTTTGTCTGCTCTCTGGTGTAGATGGAGAAGCCGGCGGACAGTCGTGTGTCCGACGCCATCACCACGAAGTCGGCGCCCGCGATGCCCACAGTCGTACTGATGCGTGCAATCAGATCCAGAGGTTGACCACAAATGAGATAATAATGTTAGCAATCGATGGACCAAAACCGGTGATGACTCTCATATCATACCCTCCATTGTCAGCGTATGGCGAGAACTGGTGTCCGATGGGCTCCACCACTGGTTGGCTGTCATAGGCTGTCTCCATCATCATCTTCGGCGGTAATAATGTCTTGTAATCGACGGATCAATTGGTGTACAAAATGTTGTGTCAAATGACTCGACGTTTTTGTATTGAGTTTTGCAGTGCTTTGCGACACAACCCACAGATGTCTCACACATTCACTGCACTCTCCATTGGGTTCACAGTATTGGGCGCTATATTTGAAACATTAATTCATTTGCAAACCTATTCACAAATATGCGAAACCAGTATTTGAACTCTGCTTTCACTTTGTATTTGACTTTATTTATAAATAATTATTACAAAACATTTTATTTGCAATTAGTTTGCATTACTATTGATTATATTTATTTAAACTCACAAAATACTAAACAAAATGAATTTTGAAAACTAGCTAGACACTATCATTCATCACTTTGAATGCAATATTTGATGATAATATAGACGGAAATGGCAGTGACCATGAGTACCAGGGCCACAATGAGCGAGCTAAACCAGAATGGGTAGTGACAGCTCCAGGTGTGGTACTCATAGTGGGAACAGTTCTTATACTCCAGGAGTCGGATCTTCCTGTCGTAGGATTCACTCAATTTGTCACTTTCCTCACAATGAGCGAGCTAAACCAGAATGGGTAGTGACAGCTCCAGGTGTGGTACTCATAGTGGGAACAGTTCTTATACTCCAGGAGTCGGATCTTCCTGTCGTAGGATTCACTCAATTTGTCACTTTCCTCGTCAGTACAGACCTCTTGGATGGAGTTTATGGTGCAGTCATACAAATCCCAGGCCTTACAGCAGAATGTCTTAGTAGTCATCGCTTAGTAGTTTGCTAAGAATTTCAATCATAAAGCAGAATTTAATTATAATTTGATTTATATATCATCAAGCAATTGTGCACTCATTTTACTCGATTAACAAATTCTTGGACTAATTTAAAATTAATGCTTTAGTAATATAACATTTACAGTATTAGTAAATATAACAAAATCAATATAAAAGATTTACATTTATTTAATTATTTAAAGTTTTTGGACGGGAGCGCCGGTATTAATTTTGTCAGCACCGCGAACCTGAGGATTAAGTATTTCTGTGCGATTAGTACCGGACTCTTCCACATTAACGCGTGCTTGTGGTAACCTGGGTGCCTGTGGTGACCTGGGTGCTTGTGGTTTTACATTGGCTTTTGTTTTCACATTCGTTTGACCAGGTTTTGGTGAAAATGGTTTCTTTACATTCATCTCATTCTTCCTGTTATTCCGTGTGTTTCGATACAAAGTGACCACAAATGCAAATATCATGAAAATTAGAGCCACTAATAGTAAGATTGCGATCATTAAAGGGATGCGAAAGTGCCATAAATATGACTCTTGGGTTGACTCTTGATGTGAAGACACAGAGTCGGAAGTGGTGACAATGGGCTGCATTTGATACTCAATGTCTACGTGTTGTGTATTGTCATCCAATGGAGCCGACGTAGTGGTCGACTTCGGATATTTACCGCATATATCAGTCCAATAGTCAATGACCACAAATTCAATCCAACCGGTGATCAACACATCGCACGAATATCTGCCGGCTATCAGTGTTATGGTATCACCGCTTATATACCCAGTGGTGATGTTTATGCCTTTCAATTGATGTATGGCTTTAAAGTCCGTCTCATCGGTTGGGAACAAATTGAAACCAATTTTATTGAGCCGTGGATTGAGCACCAGTATCAGTGTTATGCCGTCCGACACCAGTGTATCCTCTTTCCATGTGTAGGAATAGGCGTAAATGGTTTGATTGACGGCGTCGACCACATAAGCGCCGGCGTTATTCACGGCAACTATATTTTCGCTGATAATTTCTGTCAAATCTGTCCGAAGTTTGATGCTTTGGACCACAAAATTGGTGTCGATATCAATCTTCCACTGATTGCCACTCTTTTGCATACGAGTCATACATTCATTAAAAATTCTTACCAAAAATATTCAAACAATTTTTTCACTCACTTTAAGATTCATTAAATACATAATTTTTGAATGCGAATAGGAATTATTGGGGTAAATATAAGTGAACGCAATGTTTATGGGATTAGAGATCGTATGAGTTCCCAAGAAATAGTTGTCTAATTTGTAGACCTTTGCGATGGACTGGTTGTTTGCGTTCACTATAGTTATGGTGTCGTTAATGAAGTAAAAAATCTGTTTTCTAGTCTTTTCGACCACAGAATCTATGATCAAATCCTCACTTTTATCACATAATGGACTCATTATATCGGGCTATAAATTAATTTTTATACAAAATGTATGTTAAATTCAATTTAGTTTCCACAATAAACTGACATACATCTCGTGTGAATACTATAATAAAATTCATGCCCAGAATCAACAGCAAACCTATTAAGCAATTCATATTTTATTCAATTGAATGACTAAAATATATAATTTACAAATATTTAAAATCTGTGATTTGAATTAAATAAACGTTAAAATATTTAACTTTAACTTATAACAAAATTAGTTGTCTTAACAATTAACAATATGGTTTTTACATAATTGTAATGCATTTACAGTAATCTATTGTTGAAATGTTACTTAATAATTACAGTAAATTCAATCAAAAATTCAATTATATTGTTAAAGTTGTTTGTGTGTTTATTATTTATACATAAGTTTTTATTAATGGTAAATTGAATTTAGCAATTTAGCACAACATTCATTTCAAGCTAACATAATGATAAAACATAATACAATTTAATCGATTGAATTATATTGAAT